GGAAATTTGGGCCCTTCGTTCCACCTATCCTCGGGGACGTCGCCCGGGGACGTTTCCTTGGAGCTATGTCAGAAAAGAATAAAGAAAAAAAAAGAAAAAAAGAAAAAAAGAAAAAAAGAAAAAGAAAAGAAAAAAAGAAAAAAAAAAAGAAAAAAAAAAAAAGAAAAAAGAATAAAGAAAAAAAAAGAAGAAAGAAGAAAAATGGGGGGAAAGTAGGCCATGTGCGTACAATGATGTGATATGTGGCTGGCACGTTCATCTGTTTTTTGTACACCTTTCTGCCGTGGGAGCAAGTAGACAAATAAGAAAAGGAGAAAAAGAGAGAAAAAAGGAACAAAAAAAAAAAAAGAAAAAAAAAAGGGGATGCATCAAGAGTCGCTACGCTAAAAAACAAGAAAAGGTAAGAGAGCCGTTGTATCCATTCCTTATTGGATTGCGCCCCTTTGCTTGGGCTCATGGCAAAGATCAGACTTGTGTATGTGAGTCATACGCGTAGGTCTGGGCTAAGTCCCTGATGCTTTATTGTCCGTTGCAGTATTCTGTACAGCTCATAACACTTATTGCCAATGCCAGGGAATACGTACAAGTAATGGTTCACAAATTTATTTGCCAAGCGAAATGAAACAAGGAAAAACAGAAAAAAGGAAAAAAAGAAAAAAGAAAGAAAATAGGAAAAAGAATCCAAGTGTGCATTGGTGACAGCTGTGGATTTTTCTTCCCTCCTTTTTTTTGTTTTTCTTTCTCTTCTAGCTACTCACCAATCGTCGCCAATCTTGTTCCTCCCCTCTTCTTGAGTCTTTTAAGTTTTAACCCTGTGTGTGTGTGTGTGTGTGTGTGTGTGTGTGTGTGTGTGTGTGTGTGTGTGTCTGTGTGTGTGTGTGTAAGTGTGTGAAAAAAAGCATAAGCAACCATAGCAACCCGAGAACTTGAGAACCTCCACATAGATCCATGCATATACAGTTTGCACTGCACTCGCCATCCTTGGGATTGACTAACGCCACAAACCAACTATCCCTGCAGACAAGGCCAAATGAATATAGCCAGCACCTCGAAAAGAATATGCAAGATAGATAGTGAAGAAGGGAAGAGAGAGGGAGAAGGGGGAGCATTGATCGCATAGCAATCATTGTTGGCATGGTAACCAACGCGCCAACCCTCATCAACAGCAGATGAGAAGGAGGAAAGAAAAAGAGAAAGGAGTAGGGATGATATAGCCGACAAAGTTGGTGTATTAACCAATGGAGAAGGGATGCCACATCCTCTAAAGCGATTTTCTACGCTTGCTCCCGTCATGCCCATGGAATGTCATGCAAAGGCCACTAAGACAAAACACATTGCGGCGAACAATGGCAAGGCAACAAGGAACTGGACAATAGGCGGTTACACTGCACATAGGGTGGAGGACATGGGGGAGGAGCGTGGTTAGACAAGCAGCACAGATCAACAAGGGAAGAGGCACAAAGTACAAGTACCAAGTTCAACAAAACAAAGAGCAAAAAAAAAAAAAAAAAAAAGTCCGTCAGTGTCACACTTTCGGTTTCCAAAGGGCAAAAAAAACATGTGTGGGCAACATCGGGTGTGGAGTTTGAAAAGGGCAATATCGGTAAAAATGAATGTGGCCTGCATGTGATTTTGTTGCCCTTTCCAAACTCGTTTGTGCCACAACCGAACTTACCACAAAATAAAAATAGAAACTGATGATGACAGACTTTCTTTGGGCTTCACCGACTCATCAGGAGGCTGAACCCTCACCAATCTGCCGTATCCCCAGATTGATGCTTCAAGTCATGGACTCTTTTAACTCGTGTTGAAAATGGACGGCCAGCAGACAACACCTCAAGGAGCACATTGCAGCAAGGCAACAACTCAGTGAAGCACCAGGCAACTCTAATGGGGCAGCCCAACTACACAGCAATTGAAAGCTAATTGCATGGAATGACAGCACAAGCGGAATAAAGCAAGGCAACGACATGGTGAAGCACACGGCAGAGCTGCCAAAGCAGCCAAACTACACAACACACAAGCAAAGTGAACAGGAAGACAAAGTACACGGATGGGCAGCACTGCAGCTAGACAAGAAGCAACTCTGACAAGGCAACCTAAATACCTGGAGACAGACAAGCTGCAGAGAAGGAAATGGCAAGCGGGTGGGCAGCAAGGAAGTCCACACATCCAACACGGGCCAAAGCAATCCATCCCCTACGCAAACCTCAAACCCTGCAGACTGTTGAATCCCACCGCCGCTAAGTCAGTAAGCCACTGCGACAAACGTCTGTCATCAACCATAGAATGCACCCACAGACATCCTGAACTGAGCAGCTCCCAAAATAGTCTTATGGGCACTCCAAACAATCCGCCACCGACTGCTTAGCACTTCTTAGAGGTGCTTATGCAGACACAGAAATTTAAACTGATTGTCTGTGTGCATGTGTGTGTTTGGAGTAGGTGATGAGGAGGAGGGGGGCGCGCCCTGAGGCAGGCGTGAAAAACACATTCACGGGGGAAGAAGAGAGAGAGAGAGAGAGAGAGAGAGAGAGAGAGAGAGAGAGAGAGAGAGAGAGAGAGAGAGAGAGAGAGAGATGGTGGTGATATGAGATAGGCAGGGAGTTGCACGGCATGCCTGGATAAACATGCGCACACAAGAGAGTCCAGTAATACAAATGGTACAATCATCAAGAAAAGACGCGAGACTGCCTGAGATTAGGAAACTGATGCCAACTCACTTGGTAGGTCGGTCGTTTAAAAACGCCTTCCCGTTGTTATTGGAGCATTTTCAACTAAAAACCAGAGTGGCATTGCATCACGAAGGTTTACCCCAAAAGAGCCCCATCAATTATATCAATGGAAATTCATGGGAACGAGATAAAGCGAGAGATACAGAGTCAGAGGAAGACCTAGGTAGATGTCAAAAATAAAGGCATGTTATACAAGCACGCCCCATGCTCGATGCCCAAACTGGAGAGAACCAGCTGGTTCGTAACAACTGGAAATCACAAACAGAAAGTACAACATATAGTAAGTCTGAATGTGGCCGTGAATGAGACAGTGCAGATGCACTTCGAGACTGATCAGAACCAGCAAAGAGAACTCGTTGGGGTACAGGGGAACTGAACATACAAGTTCTTATGCTTCACTCTATAGCACACGTCGTTGCAGATCATAGGGGCCTCTAGATTATCGCCCTTAGAGACTAGAAACACCTTGGTGCCTAACGGAACAGAACATGCAGCAGAAAGACTGACGAACTAGGATCTCTATGCGCGGATTTCTACGCGATCTCGGAAAGGCCTCGAACAGAGGCCCGTGTTCTAATCTTGAGGGGGTTGGTGGTCAAGTTGCCCCTTATATTTGAAACTGTCCGAATTTTGTATTATATGTAGGGACCAGGCTGAGGCCTGTCGGGGTAGCTTTGCTATGACTGACTGGTCCTAGTTTGGTCCCATTGGTTTTGTGCCGAGAGATACTACGAGGTCTGTCGGGGTAGCCTCACTATGGCTGACTGTTGGGGTATTGAACCGTCGCGAGATGTCGGTGACAGTATGCTTGGTGATTTTCTCTTGGTATTGGTAGGGCTCGAACCGTAGTGAGTCTTGGAGTGCGTTTTGACGGTAGTAGGCCTAGTGTTGTTTTGATCGGTCTTTTGAATAGGCTCGAACTGTCGCGAGTCAGAGTGGTTTGGAGTGGTGTGTCGACGGCAGTTTAGCATCTTCGAAGTTGACGTCGCGGATAAATAGGTTGTGCATGAAGGTTAGTTCCTTTTTGTTGGTGTGGCGTCAGAGCGGCAAAGGTCGGGTGGGATGCATGGTCATCACTGGCCATGGGGGTGATGGCGGCGTGGTCGCTTACTTCACATCTTCTCTTCATCTCTTTCATTTGTGCTTTCACGCTTTCACGATCGGCCTACCACTTGGCTGACATGTTGATATACTAAGAAGGGAAAGAAGATGCTTATACAGCGTTTGGCTTCGGCTCGTGTGCTGTTGACTACAGTGTTTCCTTAACGGCTGTGGTTTCATTGTTTTCCTATTACTCAAGGTCGTAACCTGCTAGGCGATTGTACCTGGTGGTGGTGGCGGCTTAACTGCAATGAAGATTACGGACTTCTCGAAGTGGTAATTGAGGATCAGTGTGTCAGGAGGCAACGGGGTTCGTGTGAAGAGGGCAGGATCGGTCAGCAGGGAAGAGGACAAGAGGTGGACTATTGGGATGACGGACGAGGGTGAGTCAGGGAGGGGAAGTGGAATGTGTTCTGGTTTTCCACCTAATGGACGCAAGTGTTATAAGTGTGGAGAGGGTGGGCATTTTATTCGGGAATGCGCCGAATTCTGGCAGGCGAAGGCACTCGGTCGGGCCTTTGTCCCGAATACACAGACTACGAGCATGGCGCGTACAGGGAGAGCTCCCTTGGGCGTGGGTCCTGGGATTGCTGGCCGTCGAAGCAGATCAGCCAAGAGTGGCAGTGAGAGAAGTGAAGGTGTTGACAATACAAACGTTTTGATGCGTGAGTATTTTGTCCAAATGGCAGAAGAACGGAGAGCGAGGATCGAGAGGGAGGCAGAAGATGACAGGAGACGTCGAGAGGAAGAAGCTTGGATTAGCAAGGAAAACAGGAGGATGATGAAGCAAGAAGCTAGGAGAAAACGAGAGGATGAGAGGGACGCGAGACTGCTGCGGATTATTCGAGGAGAAATTAAGAAAGAGAGCGACGAAGAAGAACGAGCCTTTTTGAAAGGGAAACGTCCGGTGAAGAGTCGGAGTGACGCGATTGAAGCGGAGAAGGAGAGACTGCGCTGGCGAATAGCTAAGGCTGCTACCGAAGATACTGAGGGATCGGATGACGAAGAGCTGATCGCACTGAGGAAACAAGCGGCCAAGTTGGAGCTGAGCGAGAAGCGGAAGCGGGGCCCTGATTTACCGATAGGTAATAGCCCGCCGATAGTTACTCCGGAGAAGCGAACGAATACGAAGTTGTTGGCAGAATCTAAGAAGAGGATCGAGCAAATCAAGGGGGACCAATCGTGTGAGGTAGGAGGGACTAGCACTCCAGCCAAGATCGACCTATCATTGAAGCATATCACTGCTTCATGCGGCGTGGGTGGGAAGGAGAAGTTTGAGCAGGAGTGTTTTGACTTCTATGACGCACTGAATATCGATGAGCTGAAAGAAGCGTGTAGACGGGAGAAGGTAACATACGGAAACAGGGAGATGGCAATCAAGCACCTGATTACACGCCGGTCAACAACAGCGCATGATCCAGCTATTTTACCTCTCCCAGCAACTCCGGGAGTGACGACAAGAAGTGCAAAGGGAATCACCATCAAGGATGAGAACAGATCGGAGAGCTCAGTGTCTTCCGACAGTGACGATGATTCAGTGTGAGGTGTTGGTGGTTGTGGCAACTACGATGTAGTAGCAGAAAAACTTAGGAGGCGCAGGGCTAGTAATCAAGGTAGTAAGGACGATGAGCGGGTACTTCGGGCCGCGGTTATCGGGTTGATCCTGAGTGGCAAACTAGCATGGGGTGAGAAGTTTGTCAATTACTGGCTTGATGAAGTGGAGAAAGGGAAGTTTGATTTGGCGAATCCTTCCAGTTGTGTGTATGTATTGATCTCGTTGTGATACAAGCAAGTATATATTAGTCTGACAGAACGAAGCCTGTGGGCACGATGGAAAGAGCACTCGCGGCAGGGAGCTAAACGAAGTAAGCGTCGACGGAATCTATACAACTGGCTAGGGAAGGTTGGGGCGCACCAGTACGTTGCTTTACCATTGTTCACGAGCACGAGTAGGACGGAGTTGGAGGCAGTGGAAAATGTGTTAATTCGGCTATGATTGCCGACACTGAACGTACGCTTGGTCAAACAACGAAAGGTTCCCAAAAAGTCGAGATGTCGTCCAGAGAGAAGGGAACGAGGGAGAGCTTGGGAGAGGAATGACCAATCAACAAGACCACCGGGTAAAGCCGGGAAGATTCTCGAATTTCGTATAGATGGGGTAACGAACGGAACTGTCAAGTGCGTAGAGTTGTTGCGGAGCCTGGTGAGAAAGAAGGGAGAGCATAAGATTCATTGCGGAGGGGGAGATGTGTGGTCGGATGGATGGCGACTAGTTAGACGGTTGTTCGGCGAGTCCCGTGTTAAATACGGGCGGGGTACGAGACCGCTGAAGAGGTGTAAAAAGTTGTTTGAAACTGAAGGGATAGTTGTCGTGAGGAGGGTCTCGGAAGCGTCGCCAGCCACGCTAGCGTTGAAGCAACACATCGTTGCGCTGTTCAAGAACCCGAGTAGGCGCAAAGAACTCCGGAGTAAGAACCTAGCAGAGCTTGTTAAGTATTATGGCGCGGTGAAGACATTTTCAGCGAAGAGGAGTCGAGCGAAGGCACGAGCGATGATTACTACAACAATCCGTGATGGTTTCGGGATTAATGCGAGAACGAGAATCATTGTAAAAATGCAGTATGATGAGAGAATCAAGAAGAGCGAAGTGACGAGGTTGGTTAGGCGCAAGATAGGTGGATTTTCGATCGAATCGCCGTTGAAGGAGATGATAAAACGCAAAGCACGAGTTGTGTGGAGACAGTGTCCGAATGTAGGGGATATTCTGCATAACCACCGGCGGTTTTCGTCGATTCGTGCGACCAGCTGCCCGTGCGCTGGTATGTCCTATCCAAAGAAGGACGGATACGTGCATGTCCGGATCAGCGAAATCGATGGCATCCCACAGATCGTGAAGAACGCCAAGAACATTATGAGGTGCAGCGAATGGCGTCGGGATGAGATGTTAGCGAAGGAAGTGACTGAAGCTTTCCAAGGATGGATAAGTAGTATGAAGATTGGTGAGGGTGCTTGCGTAGTTACGAAGGAGGAAGTACTCGATTGTTTCGTCAAGAATCCTAGCTCTGAGTTGAAGGATGGATTGAAGGAAGTCTTGGGTGTGAAAGAGAGACTGAAGGGCCTTGTGTTGGTTCCCCTGTATCGTAATCCGGGGGACACATTGGTTTTGTGCCCTCGGATCTACACTAAGGGCATGGAGGACACCTTTATCCTGAGCGACGGATATCGCTTGGCCGATTCAAGAGAGGAGGAGATTATGGAAGCGGCCAAGAAGGAGTACGAGGACAGGGAGCTTGGTATTCATGGGACATGGAATGCGGGGGGACGGATAGGTTGTGTGTATGCACTGCCGAAACATAAGGATACTGCTAAATACAGACCTATTTGCCCCACTTATGATGAACCGACTATCGGTGCATGTAAATTGGTCGCAAAAGGAATCAATTGCTTGTTGTTCTCCTTACCTGAGTCGAGTAATTTCAACCTTAGATCCGTTGCAGAGATGAAGAAGAGGTTGTGTGGTATTGGTCGGAGATTGGGGAAGAGTAGGAATGATGTTGGGATCGTGGGTGCCTCGTTCGATATAAAAGATATGTTCAGTCGATTGCCGCATCAGACCATTCTTACCGCAGTTGAGTGGGTGATATGGTGGTTCTCTGAAAAAGGATACGAGGGTGTATTCGTGCAAAAGAGAGGGCGGGGTACGAGGCTAAGCAAGTGTCGTAGTCTTGAGGGATTTCGCTTCATTTCCTTTAAGTACTTGCTGTCTTTCATAACCTTTGATTTGGAGTTCTGTTACACGAGAGCATGTGGAATTGTGCTGCAACAGGTCATCGGGATACCAATGGGCAAGAGCTCGAGCCCCCCATTGGCCTGTTTGATGTGCACAAAGAGTGAGTGTGATTTCCTCGCTTCATTGGGTAGTCAGAAGAGAGTGTTTGACGGCTTGAGATTTGTGGACGACGTATCAGTATTCGCAGCATATAACAAGAGGAGATGGGGTGACAAGGAGAGGGCCGAGAGGATTTTGGAGCGTTTTGAGCAGTGCTAGGACCAGGCACTGACACTGAAGCGGACCAGTGAGAGTGATGAGAGCTGGTCTTTCCTGGGTTGCAAGATTTTGATTGGCTCGAAGTATCCATTTTTGAAGACCACCTTGCTCATGAAGAATGAGCAGGAATTGCGGAATGGGGGCGATCTTTCGTTCCGTACTTTCCAGGACTTTGGATCGTGGTCCTGTAAACGAGCCAAGATGGCCGTAATCAGCGGTGCCCTTCACCGGATCGAACAAAATTCGGTTATGGGCATTGAGTTGTTGGATTCCTTGATTTTGCTGAAAAGTGAACTTCGGAGGAAAGACTACCCAGAACATTGGTTTGGGGCTGTGCTTCGGAATTTTAGCCGGGACAGAAGCCCGACTTGGAAAATGTTTGCTTTACTCCTGTCGGACCGTAGGGTTGGTTTGAATTGACGTAGAGATAGATGTGATGTAGGGACGTACATGGTTTGAAGAGACCAGGCTGAGCGTTGTCTGGGGAGTCTCATCCTTGGTCCCATTGATGGTTTGTATATGATATGTAGGGACCAGGCTGAGGCCTCTCGGGGTAGCTTTGCTATGACTGACTGGTCCTAGTTTGGTCCCATTGGTTTTGTGCCGAGAGATACTACGAGGTCTGTCGGGGTAGCCTCACTATGGCTGACTGTTGCGGTATTGAACCGTCGCGATATGTCGGTGACAGTATGCTCGGTGTTTTTCTCTTGGTATTGGTAGGGCTCGAACCGTAGTGAGTCTTGGAGTGCGTTTTGACGATAGTAGGCCTAGTGTTGTTTTGATCGGTCTTTTGAATAGGCTCGAACTGTCGCGTCAGAGTGGTTTGGAGTGGTGTGTTGACGACAGTTTAGCATCTTCGAAGTTGACGTCGCGGATAAATAGGTTGTGCACGAAGGTTAGTTCCTTTTTGTTGGTGTGGTGTCAGAGCGGCAAAGGTCGGGTGGGATGCATGGTCATCACTGGCCATAGGGGTGATGGCGGCATGGTCGCTTACTTCACATCTTTTCTTCATCTCTTTCATTTGTGCTTTCACGCTTTCACGATCGGCCTACCACTTGGTTGACGTGTTGATATACTAAGAAGGGAAAGAAGATGCTTATATAGCGTTTAGCTTCGGCTCGTGTGTTGTTGACTAAAGTGTTTCCTTAACGGTTGTGGTTTCATTGTTTTCCTTTGTATTATAACTCGAATTGTCATGTGGGAAGAGTAATTTCACAACTTGCAATCCGGTCCGTTCTCCTTTTGCTCTTGTATGATTTTGCAATTAGGATGCAGTGATCCACCTTAGCGAGTGTAGAAACTAGATGACGTGTGGGTCTTTTTTTTTTCGTTTCAGTTTGTGGGAATTCCGTGCACGTCAACTTGGGTGATACGACACTTGAATTAAGAAATTCGCTCCACTCACTGTGCCGGAATCTGCGATTTTAATTGGCTTCAAGATTTAGGCTCTCTGCTTCTTGCTCAGATATGTTGTGCAACCGGACTTTGCCCCTCTTCTGCAACCAGTTCTTCATGCTCTTTTCCCTTGCGTCTTAATTTTTCACACGATGCTCAACTGTCATCGCCTTTCTTCATCTTTCTTGTAATTGTCTTCTTTCCCTACCTTCTTCTTGGCGCTCGCGCACCCAACCCTGGCTCGTGCACCATCCAGCTTCCCCCGACTCTGATTGACCAATGCGATGCAACCGGGATAGATGTGTGGAGTATGACTAAGTTGCGCATGCCGCGGTCCAGGTATGCAGCTCGTGGGAACTCCCTCTTGGCTGTTGCTTAATCCCGCTAATCTCCCACATGCATCCACAATTATAAATTCAGGAAGTACGACTTTCTTTTTTTTTTTTTTTTTTTTTTTTTTTTTTTTTTTTTTTTTTTAAACAAAAAGGGGGCCCAGTGCCCAAGGCTGATATTGATATTGAGAAAATTGAGGTCGGGGTCCTCATAGTGTACCCGGAGTAATCAGACAAAACATGTTGGGAACCGGGCCCAGCGGCCCTTTAGGAATTGAGAATAGAAACTATGTGCCTCTTCACCCAACCAGGGTGCCACAAAAATTCTTGCAAATCAAGCACAGGATCCTACCATTATGTCATTATGAAACAGGAGGGACATTCTCTATCTTTACCCGTACCACGAAGAGGGAACCAGACAAGATCCTGGTAGGGGAAAGGCTGGGAAATCCGATAAAGGTCTTAGAGGTATAGCAGAATCAACAACACTCCAATCATTAAAGACCAATCAGTAATTCCTTTGGAAACACCCTTGTGAATCCTCATGTGCTCCTTCCCACACCACCTGCCCCAGCCTCCCTCCCTGGTCCTCCCCAAGCCAGACTCTATTGAATTGTTTAATGTGATACCCGATCTCATTTTGTAATGATAGATAGTGAATTTTTTCTTTTATATTTTCCCATTTAATAGTCAGATCTGTTTGAACATGTAGTTTAATACTTTCAGTGAATTCTGGGCCATCCAGGCGAGCGCCTTCCATTTCATAGGTACATCTTCTTAATCAGATTGCCCAAGTAATTGCTCTTCTACCGATCGTGAACAGGTTAATTGTGAACTCATCGACTTGCTCC